CTCCTTTTAGAGCCTCCTTGACAGGTGGCCATTGTTTTCTGATTGAATGCTTCCAGTGATGCAGCACTCACTTCAGCAGGGAAGTCCTGTCCACGGTGGCTCAGTTCCAGTATCCAAAACAGTCCTTTCTTATGCTGAGCCAAAATCTTCCTTTTGGTAATAGCCCTCTCAGTGGTTTTAGATCTGAACTCCAGAGCAACCATTCCCTCCTCTGCACACAACAACCCTTCAGCAAATCCCTGCTGCAGGTTAATCAGACCCAATTCTCGCATCTTTTCTTCAGAGAACGTGGTTTCCACACCCTGCCTGAATGTCTCCTAATGAATTACTCTAATTTGCTATGTGTGGTAGCTTTTGTAAATGTGGTGTCTATATTTGAACACATAAGTTCAGAAATCTTGAGCTGAATAGCGTAAGTGTGGCACCCCCTGGGACTTGGACACTGTTTCCTATTAACACATTTTGTTCTATTTTGTTACTTTGGCATCTGCTCACACTGCATGAATATCCCTTATTGTCACATTACCAGGTTAAGCCAACTCTCCCACATCCTGGCCCTTTTTAAATGAAGGAAGATATTGTACTTTATTACAGTCAAATGTCATTTTTTAGAACAGATTTTTTGCAACCTATGTAGATGATTTTGAGTAATTATACTGTCATCTATCATACTGTTTTATATCTCCCTTAAATGACATAAGTATCTTAAAACACTGATAAAAATATTACTCAAGACTGAATAAAGAGGGGAAAGGGGGAAAATCTGTATTTTTTTCTAGAGAACTCTCAAGATTCTTTGTCATGACATGAATTACACTCTTTGAATAAACCTTTCTCTGCTATAATCTAAACCCACATCACTCCATGTTATCCACAAAGGTGTCTTGCCTTCCTGAAATGACCAACCTCTTGGTTAAGTAATGTAATAATCCTATCAAGAAAGGAAGTGGTATTTCTCAGTAATGACTTACTTGAAGAGAAGTCATGATGACTTGTTACATTTTCCCTAACATACTGTCTTTAATGATTTATATCAGACATTGTCCAGATATTACCATCAAACATAGTAGTCTGTACTGCTAAACACTATTTTCCCTCCATTTTGAAAATCAAGGTATTTGGCAGTTTATCTTCATAGGGTAACCTAACTGGAAGAAGATAAAACAAGAAGCCTAAAGAGGGAACTTAAAGAGGTAATGTGGGAGCAACTGGGTGACTTAAGACACATCTGTGACTCACCTACGCTTTCACCAAGTCCACTTTACCCAAGAATCTTTCCTGTATTATCATCTCCTTCGTTGCCGGTAAAGGTACAATAACCATCTAAATACATTCTGTCTCTCTCCTGAGATACAGTTTGGTTTGGCTTCTCCATCACTCACTTGCAACAGAAACAATTTTTACTTAAACACAGGAAAGGGAGGCTCCTTAGAGGACACTGGAGTCTTGTAACCAGAACAAGGTACATTGGATACAGGGTAGAAAAAACAATGGATTCTTCTACCTGCTCCAGGTCTCCAATCTTTGGCTCAAACAATCTACCCTTCTTATTAATGCCAGTGTTATATTCTAAAATACTAGCTGTATCCTAATTGTATCCTCTAAATTCCTCTCCTACTCTCTTTAGCATAAAATCCAAAAGTTTTGGCCTTATGATCAAGGCCTTCTCTTTTTTTTTTTTTTTTTTTTCTAGTAACCAGTTTTAATGATGGCTTAGAAATGCGTTGATTGTGCTCCATTTCTTAAACTTTTTCTTTCTTTCTTTCTTTCTTTTCGGGGACAAAGTTTGGCTCTGTTGCCAGGCTGGAATGTGCCATGGCAAAATCTCGGCTCACTGCAACTTCTGACTCTCTGGTTCAAGCAATTTTCCTGCCTCAGCCTCCCAAGTAGCTGCGACTATAGGCGTGTGCCACCATGCCCAGCTAATTTTTGTATTTTTAGTAGAGATGGAATTTCACCATGTTGGCCAGAATGGTCTTGATCTCTTAACCTCGTGATCTGCCTGCCTCGGCCTCTCAAAGTGCTGGAATTACAGGCGTGAGCCACCATGCCTGGCCAATCAAGGCCTTCTCAATCTGGTGCTAACTTGTCTTCATTCTCCCAGGCCTGTCAGACTTCTCCCGTTTTCCAAAGTGTGCCCTGCATACTCATGTTTTTGTACATTTCTGTTCTTTCATCCGGGATTTTTTCTCTAGATACTACTGGATAGAATCAAGCCCAGTTCAAATACTTTATCTTCCTGATGTCCCCGGTTCTTATAAATTGTTTCTTCCATTATAGTCCAACAAGAGCAAGTAATTTGCATCTCTGCTCAGGAAGCACTCAGCTGTTTCACATTGTACTTATTTCTCTCCTGCATTCCTCCACGATGGCGGTGGCTTTCAAACTTTTAGCAATAGCATAGCTCATAGCAACAATGAGCAATAAATAGAAATACATTTTACATTATGACCCAATAGACACATTTATATAAACTATATATTTTATCAATTTTAAGAAGTACTTCCTCTTTTTCATGCCTGAAATCAGGATTTAGGCCAGGTGCAGTGGCTCATCCCTGTAATCCCACCACTCTGGGAGGCCTGAGGCAGGAGGATCACTTGAGTTTAGGAATTGGAGACCAGCCTGGGCAACTTAGTGAGACCTCATCTCTACAAAAA